GGCCTTGAAGACACACACTTGGTCTGGGTCTCTGGCCCCGATACACACCTTGGGCCTGTGTCACTGGCCCTGAAGGCACACCCTGGGCCTGGGTCTCTGGTCCTGAACACTCACTTGGCCTGTGTCACTGGCCCTGAATTAGCACCCTGGGCCTGGGTGCTTGGGCCTGAAGACACACTCTTGGCCTAGATCACTGGCCCTCAAGTCACACCATTGGCCTTGTTGTCTGGCCTAGAAGACACACTCTGGGCCTGTGTCACTGGTGCTGAATGCACACCCTTCGCTTGGGTCACCGGTCCTCAAGACACACTCTTCGCATGGGTGTGTGGCCCGAAGGTACACCCTGGGCTTTGGTCAATGGCCTTGAAACACACACTGGGCCTGGGTGACTGGCCCTGAAGGCAAACCCTTCCCTGGGTCACTGCCGAGAAGTCACAATATTGACCTGGGTCACTAGCCCAGAAATCACACCATTGGTCTGGTAACTAACCCTGTAGATACACCATTGGTGTGGTCACTACAAACAAGCACACCTTGGGCCTCGGTCATTTCGTAGAAGACACAACTCAACCTGTGTCACTGGTGCTCAACACACACACTTGGCCTGGGTCACTGACCCTGAAGAAACACACTTAGCCTGGGTAACTTGCCCTGAAGACAAACCCTGGACCTGTGTGTCTGGCCTGAAGGCACATCTGGGCTCAGTCTCTGGCGCCGAAGGCACACCCTGGTCCTGGGTTCCTGGTTATGAAGGTACACTCTTGACCTGGTTCACTGATGCTGAAGACATACACTTGGCCCTGAAGACACACACTCTGCTCAGGTCAATGGCCATGAAGATACACCCTGGACCTTCTGGGACTTCCATATGTATATGCCAGTTCACTTGACGGTGTTCCACCAAGTCCCCTGGGCTATGTTCACTTTTCTTTATTCTTTTTTCTTTCTACATTTTTATGCTGAATAATTTTCTTTGTTCTGTCTTGAGTTTGCTGATTCTTCTGTCTGCTCAAACCTGCTGTTGATCCTCCCTAGTAAATTTTCATTTTAATTATTGTATTCTGCTCTAGAATTTTTTGGTTCCTTTTTATGTTTCTTCAATCTTTTTATTGATATTCTTATTTTATTTACACATCACTTTCCTAATTTGCTTTAGTTACTTGTCTATGTTTTCCTTTAGGTCATTGAAAATATTTAAAACAGTTATTTAAAAATATTTATCAGATAAATCTGATTTCTGGGCTTCCATAGAGATTATTTCTGTCAATTATTTTGTTCCTTTGAATGGGCCATGCTCTCCTGTGTCTTTGTATGCCTTTTGTTGTTGCTGCTGCTACTAAAAATGACATTTGAGAATTATAAAGGTGATTACCCTGGAAGTCAGGCTCCCTGATTTTCCTAGGGCTTGCTAGGTTTTTGGTTGTCAGATGTTGTCTATTTGTTTTAATACTTTCCCAAACTGTTATTTCAAAGACTGTATTCCCTGCTAATGTGTATGCTGAAGTCTTTGATCCTCAGTTGTGTTCAGCTAGTGTTTTTACAGAGATTTCCTGGAATTTCAGGAACTAAGAACATGAACAAAAACAGAGGTGGAGGGGGGAGATACAGAAAGAGTGACAGAGACAGAGACAGAGAGATAGAGAGTGAAAGAGATGCAGAAACAGACAGACAGACCTCTAACAATCTTTGAAAATTGGTTCTGTACCAGGACCCTCGTTCAACTATTAGCCAAGCTTGTAATGAACAAGCCCAAGGTGAAAATTTAGGGTCTTCTCAGGTCTTTTCTGAGCATGCATCTTGCCTGGGCATTTGCATTGTGTTCTAAATTCCTCAGTATGCACAGCTGCACTTGAATGAGGACACTGAATGAGGAATTGCCCCGAATGTCTGAGTGTTGGTACTCTGACTTGTAGTGTTTTCAAGCAGTATCTGCTGGTTTTTCAGTGTTTCTTTGGGAGGATGCAAACTTGGTTCTGCCTACTCCACCATTTTACTGATGTCACTTTCCAGCTTTATTTTGATTGGCATTTTCATACCATATGTTTTCCATTCTTCTACTCTTAAACTGACTATATCAATATATTGGAAGTTAATTTCTTGTAGGCAGCATATGATTAGGTCACTTTTTCCTATATTCTAAAAATTTCTGTCTTTTAATTGGTGTACTTAGGTGATTTATGTTTAATGTCATTATTGGTATGCTTGGATTTAGGTCAAGATTTTATTAGTTGTTTTCTGCTTGTCCCTTCTGGTTTCTGTTCCTGCTTTCCCCTTCCCTGCTTTCTTGTTTGTTATTTGAACATTTTAATATTTATTTTATCCAGTGTGGTTTTATCTCTTTGTATAGTATTATCGCCTTAAGGAATGCTCTAGGGACTAGAATACACATATTTAACTTTCACAGTCAAGCTATAACCACCATTTTACCACTTCAAATGGAATGTGGAACCCTCATCACCATGTAGGTTTCTTTACCCCTTCCAAACTTTATGTTGCAATTGTTTTATATATTAGATTTACACACTGAGAAACCAATCAGAGAATGTTTTAATTTTTGCTTTCAATTACCATACTAACTGCCAAGGACTCAAGAGGAGAACAGTCTGTAATATTTGCCCAGATGTTCCAGGGTTCTTTATGGTTTCATTTTCCTTCTGTCTAAAGAAACTCCCTTTAGAATTTATTTTGTAACAGACCTATTGGCAATGAATTCTCTTAATTTTGCTTCATCTGGGAATATGGTTACTTCACATCTTGGTTCTTGAAGGATATTTTTCACTGGATATAGAATTCTGAGTTGACTGTTCTTTTCTTCCAGGATTTAAAAAAAATGCTTCACTTTCTTCTGACCTCCATGGTTTCTGATGAGAAGTCTGCACTCATTTGAATCTGTGTCCCCCTGTGAGTAATGTGTCATTTTACTTTGGTTGCTTTCAAAGTTTTTTTGTCTTTAGTTTTAAGCTGTGTAATTATGCTGTGGTTGATTGTGTGTTTCTTTAGACTTCTCTTATTTGGTGTTCACTGAGTCTCTTAAAACTCAAAAGACATGGAAGTTTTTGTCTTTTGTCAAATGTCAGAATTTTCCAGCCACTGTTCTTCAAATGCCTTTTCTGTACACACTCTTTCAACTCTCCTGGGACTCTGGTGGCATAAATGTTAGACATTTTGATGTTGCCACATAAGTCCCTGAAAATGTCATTTTCTTTTCAATCTCTTCACTCCATTGTTCAGATTGAATAGTTTCTATTGATCCTTCTTCAGCGGCACTGTCTTCTTCCTCCCATCATTTCCACTCTGCTATTGAGACTATCTTAAATTTTCCATGACTGTACTTTTCAGTTATAAATTTTTCATTTAGTTTTTAACTATGTCTTCTACTTCTTTGCTCTCACTTTCTGTATTTTCTTTCAAGAGCATTAACCCTTACTTCCTGGAGCATTTTTATTGCTTTAAAGTCTTGTCAAGTAATACCAACACCTGTGTCATCTCAGCATCATTGTCTGTTGATTGTCACACCCCCCCCCCATCCAACTTGAGATTTTACTGGTTCTTATGTCCAGTAATTTTGGATTGTATCCTCGATAATCTGAGCATCATGTTATGGGACTCTAGGTCCTATTTAAATCCTATGGAAGTTGTATATATGTTTAAGGTCAGATCTATGCATGCACACTTCAAGGATGATCCCAGACATTCATAAGCAACTTTATGGATTCACTTTCCTGAGATCCTACTTCTCCACAAGTTCCCTGGTACTTTTCAAGCTCCCTGAAGCTCCCCACTTCAATTCCTCAGCCAGAAACTGGGGCTTCACCTACCTTCCTCTGCTTACGCTTCATGTAGCTGATCATGTTTCGAGGCCCAACCGACCAGAGGAGAGAGAAAGCAAGCAGTGATACTTGCTTCCCTCTTTCCACCACAGCTCCTCCAAGTGGAGAGGGTGGTTCTGCTGCCTCCAGTTTCAAGCTCCTGTGGGCAGACCTTGGTCATTGCTGTTGCACGTGCTGCTACTACAATGTAGCTTAGAGACTGGGATGTGCATGAATGGATGGAAGGAAAAATGGGAGATTTCTGAGTATTAGGAGATCCTTTCCCATCACTCAGCCCAGAACTGGGCAGCCTCTTCTGGAGCCTCTGTCCTGTACTCTGTGCTCAGGATTTTACACTACACTGCGTCCAGGCTAGATCACACTGAAGGAAAAATATGGTAAACTCACTGCTGGTTTGGTGATATTTCAAACTCTGCTCTTCTTCTCCAGTCTGCCTGCTACTGTTTATCTTCAGGGACCTCAATTATTTGCCCCATGCATTGTATTCAGGTTTTATTTTTTATACGTAAGGCTGCATTTAGTGGAGACACAAGGAGCAATGTGCTTGCTCTATTAAAAGAGAAACCTGTATTTTACATTTGTAACTTTTCACATTCTAATTACAGTTGCTATTTTAATAATTCACATAAAATGTAGAAATCTTGCAATTATAGGTCCATACTTCTCCCACTCCACATTCTTTATGCTATAGATGTAAAATATATTTTATCTATACCATATTATGAACTCCACAAGGTATGTTATAGTGTTTGCTTTAAATAGTCATATGTAGTATAAATAAATTAAAGGCAAATAAAACATATTTGTATTTGGCCAGATATGTACCATTTCTTATGCTCTTCATTCACTTCTGACAGTCCAAGTTTCCATCTGACATCAACTCCTTTCATTCTGAAGAACTTACTTTCATATTCCTTGTGGTATTAATTTGCTGGTAGCAAAATATTTTCTGTTATATGAGAAGGTATTTTGTTTTGATTCTTTTTTAACACTTTATATTTTAGAGTAGTTTAAGGTTTACATTAAAATTGAGTTATAAATTTCATTGTATTTGTACCTAAGAAATTTCCACATACCCCCTGATGCCACACCTGCATGGTCCCTCCCATTACAAACACCACTCACCAGAGTGGGACTTTTAATGCATGTGTGTGTTTACCAAGGATACACCTCCACAGACCAGTCACAATCACCCAGAGGTCATAGTTTACGTTGGGGTTCACTCTGGTGTCGTATGTTCTATGTGTTTGGACAGATGTATTGTGACATGTGTCCACAATTATAGTATCTTACAGAGTAGTGTCACTGCCCTAAAAGTCCTTCGTGTTCCACCTACTCATCCCTATCTGTGCCCAGTCCTTGGAGGCCACTGAATTTTTACTTTCTCCATAGTTATACCTTTTCCAGAATGTGATAAATTTGAAACCATACAGTACATAATTTTTCCAGATTGGCTTCTTTCACTTAGTAATATACATTTACAGTTTTCATGAGGTCTTTTCATGGCTGGATAGCACCTTTCTTTTTAGCACTCAATAGTATTCAATGTCTGTATGTGCCACAGTTTACTTTTCCATTCACCTACTATAGGACTTCTTGGTGATTTCCAAGTTTTGGCTGTTATAAATAAAGCTGCTATGAGTCCATGTGCAGGTTTTTGTGTGGACATACATTTTCAACTCCTTTGGGTTAATACCATGGAGTGTAATTGCTGGATCACATGACAAGAGTGTGTTCAGTTTTGTAAGAAACCACCAAATTGTCTTCCAAAGCGGCTGTATGAGTTTTGGCAATTATGAATGAAGCTGCTATAGATCCACGTGCAGGTTTTTGTGAGGATATAAGTTTTCAACTGATTTGGGTAACTATCAGGGAGCACAATTGCTGGATCGTATGGTAAGAAACAGTATGTTTAGTTTTGTAAGAAACTGCCAAATTGTCTTCCAAAGTGGCTGCAGCATTTTGCATTCCCACCAGCAATGACTGAGGGTTTGTGTTGCTCCCCATACTTGTCAGCATTTGGTGTTGTCAGTGTTCTGGATTTTGGGACGTTCTAATAGGTACATAGTGTTATGTCATTTTAATTTGCATTTCTCTGATGACAT